ACTACGCAAGTGATGTATAAACAGTAGCTTCCATTTGACGCGAAAATACGCACGGATATTTGTCTGCGGACATTATCTGTTCCGAGAAGAACAGTTTTCCGAGTTACCCTAAAGGCGTGGTTTGATTGCGATTCTACCGTAGCAGGCGTGCGATAGCATGCACATCCGAGCTTATTCTTGAAAGTGGTTTTGCGTGGTTTGGAGAGCGCAGCAATGGGACGTCACTGAATAATAATTTGCAAAGGTACAATGGGGTACAGGGGGAATGTCATTACCTTTTTCCCGCAAATGCCATTTTAGAATCTCAATCAAACCATGACTTACAGGTAAGAAAAGTGTTAAGAAAATTTGCATTTTTTTTTTTTGGAGGTAAATTATTTACGTAACTCACAAGGGAAATTTTCTAGCTCTCTGGAGCTTCCAAAATCGTAAAAGGAGATCTAAATCTTGATTAGAATGAATGCATTTTAAACGAATGACGTGTAAGTTTCAATTTACTGTATCAGTACTTTTACAGACCCAGCAAAATTGTAACCTTTTATTGCTAACACAAGTGAAATCGGTTTCTAATCTTTTCTTTGCAAACGGGAAAGCATATTTTTGGCTGCATTTCTGCCAACACCCGTGTGAACTTGAGTTGTTGTTTACCGTTAGGGAATTAGTTTTTTGTAAGTCTTTTGTTTCCTTTACTCTAGAGTGGGATTTCAAAACTATAGACCCATAAGGGCGACATGTTCCTCTAGACTTCGCCTCACCTTCCTGTTTGTCATTAACAAATTCCATTCTTTCCCAAAAGGTTTCATCAAAGTTCTCCCTTGTTCCCCCAAATTCTGGAAAGATATATCAATTCTTCCTTGGAAATCGAGCGGGGTATCAGAAAATTACTGCTAAAGGCATTTGAAATAGAACAAAACTGGAAATAAATAAATTACAAATTTAAAAAGGAAGACAACTAAGCCTTAACAGGTTTTCATGCGGGTCCTCTGTCCTGGGCGAATTGAACTTTGGAGATGTTGGGTTTTGTTAAGAGAGGAAAACCAGAGAACCCGGAGAAAAACCCTCGGAGCAAGGAGAGAACCAACAATAAACTCAACCCACATATGGCACAGGACCGGAATCGAACCCAGGCCACATCGGTGAGAGGCGCGTGCTCTCACTGTTTCGTTGATCAAATTTTAAATACACTTATATTTCCTTTATTTTTTTATTATTATTATTATTTTTTTGACATTTAGGCATTTAAAACAGGTGGAAAAAGGCAACCTTTGAGCTCGATTTGCACAGAGTTTCAGTTTATTTACGTATAGTACGCTATGTCTCGCTGATGAATTTCATCCTCAGCTGTAATGCAGTCTTATTTGTACTGGATGGGAAAATATCAAAGCAAAAATAGTATCTTTCAAGTACATGAAGAGAGTCTTGTCACGACTTTTACCTGTTGCTGTTGCATCGAAATACAACTGAATCGACGGGCTCAAAAAATCGCGAAACATTCTAACATTAGGCTCACTCCACTTCGTTACAATTGCTGGATAAAGCAATGCGTTTTGACCAGTACCAAATAGGTGAGATTTGGCTTTTTCGCGTAATGTACGAATGCTTGGCGATCCTACTCGCGGTAACTTTATTCCGCCAACACTAAAGGCTGCAAACCACACACGGTCTTTTTGTTCGGTTGGCGTCGCTTGATAGCGGAGCTCCGGCGGCCCGAAGGGCCGCCAAGCGGAGCCCCATACTCATATAGGAAACAAAAGGAAACCCATGAGTTGATTTTCTCATGGTTATCATGGCTAGCGGTATTGCTCGTGGGTGCGTACGCACGACGGCGACGACGACGACGGAGTCGCGCAACATGGCGGCCATACTCCACATAATAGGTTGACAGAGACATGCAGCCTTGGTTTGCCATGTACTTCTTTGATATTGGACATCCATGTTATGATCAATTG